ACCGATATCGGCGGTTCCAATAAAAGTGCAGGTTCTTTCAAAGAAAAGAATGTGTGCAAAAGCTCAGACCGATATCTCAAAAACTGTGGAGCAAATTTGCGTGATCATTTATATATATACTGTTTAAGTACTCCGACGTCTCCTTCCGGGTGTTACAAACAACGCGGCAAACTTAATATAGCTTCTTTAGGGTACAAAAAAACGATGATGTTGAAAAGATGGTAACTTGTTTCTCAACACAATAACAACATAATTTCACCCTGGCTCCATATATTTGACCCAGAGATACTTCAAATTCTCTAAATAGTCTGAAAAAAAAAGTGTTTTAGAAGTTTGCAAAGAAAGCCTTCTCATACGCCTCAAATTTTTGTCCGCCCAGTGACTTTTTTAAGTTTGTAAACGGAAAGGAGAATCTGGTGAATCCGGTGGTTGGATTGGCAGTTCGTAGGCTAATTTAACCAATTATAAACGTTCTGCCCATCTCCAGGTAGTCCATTTAGGTCACAGCTTTGAAATGTGGCCACCGCTTTTCTGGTCGATAGAACAGTCTTCGCCTTCTTCTAAGCAAGTTCGACGTTCGAAGTCCACTGATTCGACTGTTGCTTGGTTTTACGGTTACTGTTGTCGTCTGAAGTGTAGGGTACCCTTCAGTCGACAGCTATGTATGTACATAGCTAGCCGTGGTAACGGCTTTTCAGCAAATTTTTGAAGATCTTCATCGAAGTAGTAGTAGTAGAGTCACCGTATACAGCATCCAAGCATTCTTTCATTTCACTTTGATACTTCCTTTTAAAAAACAATAGTTCCTTTTTTTCCATTTTTTCTAAATCTGCGAACACACTCACTTTCACATGCGAGCTAAACAAATATATGAACCCAATTCGGTTGAAATTAACATTACTAGGACCGGGAGATTTCGCTTAGTTTCGACTTAAAACAATCGAAAAGAAAGCTAGTCTGTAATAAAGGTTAATACTATTGCTTGAGATTTAGCTGAAATATGCACCGTTTTGCTCGATAACAATCCATTCTGAAGAAAATTTCTAATGCCACTTTCATAGAAAGCTTCGTTCTAATTGGCAAAAAAACTGGGACAGCCGACTTTCAAAGCTACTCTTGAGATTGTTTTTTACCAACAAAATTATGCGCCATAGAAAAGAACAGTAAATAATCACTTGCTACCAGATTCAGAATATCAAGAAGCACACATACATCGAGCTTAATTTTGTAACTAGACTTATTTAAATGTTTTCGAACTGCTTTTTTGTGCAATGTTTATGGTAGATCCTGGGCATTTAAAACAGTGCTTACATAATACCATAATACCGGAATCCATCTAGTAGAAAAATAGTCAGTTCTTGTGAATTGAACTGAGTTGAGTTGACTTGAGTTGAGCAAAGTTCAGTTGAATTGAGTTTTCAAGTAAATTGTACTCAAGCATCTATACAACATGGGTTTAGATTCTTGTGCAAACTGCCGGTTCTGTGATATGGAGCCGGAAACCCCAGAACACCTGCTAGTAGACTGCATAGTGATCTGCAGATGCAGGATTAAGGCCCTTGGATACATCTTTCCAAATAGGAATCACATCGCCTCACTAGCACCTAGCAGTATATTTGAGTTTATCAATGTGCTGGGACTAGGTGAATCGTTGTGACTTAGGGAAGGGCACAATAGGCTATAGTTCGCGGTCTTTACCACTATTCTAATCTATCTATCTAGCTAATTTGTACTAAGTTTCTTAAGTTATTGTTATATTGCGTTGCATTCACTTCCCGAATACCAAATATGGCTTGGACAGGCCCCATATGGAACCAGATAATGCACATAAATTAAAAATTTATCGAATCCATTAACAAAATTGCATTAAAATCATAAACACTTTACGCTTCAAAAGCATTTCGATACACTTCTCAAACACTTCGCAGCAAAGCGTCGCCAAAGAGGCGACCAAGGCAAGCGAGTTGCCGAAAAAGTCGCTGAAATTTAATCAACTCAAATTTAAAAACCAGCACAACAAGCGCCAAGCGCGTGCTGGAAGAGCGGGGGTCACGCAGACACGCGAACGAAGAACTCAAATAACTTAACTGTGACATTGTCCAATAATAGCAAGACAGACGTTTGTACATGAACACATGTGAAGATATGCGCTACACAAAACAATTTGCGCTCATAAATTCAAAAAAAAAAAAAAATCCAAACAATTATGAAATGTGTAGCAATATGAATATGCATAAATTCAATTACTTTGTTGTCAGACAAAAGACGCTCGCGAAGATATGCAAATGAAATAAAATAGAGTAATAATTTCGGTACAGAAAGCTGTGGTGGAACGCCTACGGGCCTCAGCGCGGCCTGACACACACATACGAGTACACTTTTTAATAAACTATAAAGGCGTAGCAAGTGAACTGTTCATCCATCTGCCAGTCGGCTTTGCACACATACACACACAATCGCAAAATTACTATTATAAAAACCAATCAAAGCAAACAAATTTGCGTGAAACCCCGCTTGCTTAGACACATAGACACACACATACACAGCCATACTCACATGTGTCCCTGGCAGCAGCGCGTGTCACCCGGTCCAGTTGTTCAAGCATGGCTCGGGCGCTACGCTTGCAATAATCGCACAATTGAGATTGAACGATTTTATTGTCACATGTAGACTTATGTATGTGTGTGTGTATGTAAGTATTTATAAAACCAAAGTTGTGGGAGCAAGCATCAACAGCTTATTCAGATGTATACGATATAAGGGCATGTGTGTGCGTGTGTGGGCTCGTCATATATTCTTTGTTAAGCGTTTGCTGTCAAATGCAATTTAAATAAACGCAAATAAAATGAAAAACAAATGAAATGAAGAGTCTATAAATAAACCAGAAATAGGTTCATGATTACAATAAAATTTGTAGGAAGAAAAGGGCATACAAATAATATTAGAAATGGAATGAAAGGGCTGACCTTAAACAGATTCCCGGTAAATGTTTTTTAATAATTATATGTTTGTGCCTACATAAGTTAATTTTAATTTTATTAATTAAATTTTTTATTTGTATGGGTGATTTTATCAATCTCGTAATTTCGGGATTGCAAAATTTTGATTAACGTATTACTTCGGTATGCCTAACACTATAATTTATTAATCGTATGGGCGATGTTATGAATCCTATAATTTTGGGATTGCAAAATGGTATTGCTGTTTTTTTTTTCGGGATTGCATAATTTTACTACCGTATTTCATCGGGATTTTATTCCTATGAGTAATTTTATGAATCCCGTAATTTCGGGATTGTAAAATTTTACTACATGTATTTCTTCAGTACGCTTAAAATTATAATTTTTATTGATTTTATGAATCCCGTAATTTCGGGATTGTAAAATTTTACTATCGTATTTCAGCGGTTTAGTTAAAATTTAAATTTTTATTTATAGTGAGGATTTTATGAATCCCGTAATTTCGGGATTGCAAAATTTTGATTACCGTTTGTTTCGTGGTTTTTTAATTTGTAAGCGTATGGGAGATTTTACGAATCCTCTAATTTAAAGAGTAGTCAAGTTGACATCAAATACCTTATAATATCGATTAACAGCGCCAGAAAATGAACGGTTGCAGTAAGAAAGCCGGGAGCGCGTTTTCAAGTATTGAATCTTCTGCTTACTTCTTCTTACGGGAAAAATATACTGTGCTTACTTATTTATATAATGATATATTTGAGCTACATGTATACCGGTTTGATTACCATATGTGTTGTAAATAATTCCAGCCGAGTTCGAAGGCTTCTCAAAAGTTTTGTAATTTGAAAAAACTTATCTGCATTGTAAATGTGCTTGAAATTTACTCAAAAGATCTTTAATTTAACTGAAATATACTTCAATCAATATCAAGAACTTAACAACTTCCCTTTAGAAAATTATGAGAACAGTATTGAAGCATGAAGTTTGATTCAAACTAAAAAGGGTATGAAATTATAAAGCAAATTTAGAACTTAGAAAGTAATTTAGAACAATCCAAAACAAAGAGTAATGAGCAAGTATTCAAGAGATTTTAGGTTAGAATCCCTGCCCTCTGGATCTGGATTTCTTGGTATAAAATAATATTTTCTTAATTATACTAAATGATTATCAGATTTATTTTTTTCTTGATTTTTTCAAAATTTAAAGAAAAAAATAGCATCTTCTAGTACAAAAACAACAATGCCTCCTTTATACTGATAAACTAAAACAAAATATAAGATTTTTCCAAGAAACCATAACCTCTTTAAATACCTTTTCAAAAAAGCACCAATTAATAGTAGAAAAAACAGTGGGGGGAAAATCGAATGAACGAAAACCATCAATAAAAGATTTGTGCAAGCAAAAACCATGGCCGTGCACATAATATGATTAATTATGACTTACTGCCAGCTAACCACAAAGTCTTCTTACAAAGAACGGCTGCAAAAAATCTAAGTTAACAGAATGTTATGCTCTTCAAGAAAAAAAAAACACGAAATTAAATACGCGACAACGCTGCCAAACTTGGCTTTAAATTTTAGTATGGTTGTTGCTTTACTTTATCAAGATATCTAGTGGCAGTAGCTCAAGGTATTTTTAAAAAAAATTCAAACATGAATAGTACATTAGAATCTTTCAAAATATATTATAGTTATGCATACATATACAAGTACAAGTAGTACAAGGTGGTTGTATAACTCAGTAGTATATGACTCATTGCATATTTATAAAGTGGAAACGGAAATATGCAAATAAGGGTATTTTTTTAGCGAAATGGACAAGTATAGAGTATATAATTTTAAGCAAAATTTTTTTTACTGGAACACCCGACCTTAGCTCGCAAATAATGCTCAAAACGTTGATTCCAATAGTTCTGTTTTAACACAAAAAGCAGTCTAACAAAGTCATAGTCTACTCTCTATAACTAAGAGTTCGTTCCAATAAAGTTATGATTTATCGCGCTGTAAGGTTTTAGTACTTATACAATTGATATTGACATACTAGACAAAAAACTCGCGTAATCTTTTACTGTAGTCCCCATCATTAACAGCAATGTTGGTTCCATTTTCAGTTGTAATCAAATATGGATCAATGATGTCATCGTTTTTTAAACCACAACAGACAGTAACTTTTTCTGGATGTCAGGGAATCCCGTAAGAATGTGACGGTCCTGATTCTGTAACACAAAATTCAAATATATATATTCTATATATATATATATATATGTATAACTCAGTATTTGCTTTGATAGCCATACCTCTGAGAAAATCGATGAATCTATTGGTACAAGTATTCCGCCCACAGGATCAAACTGTTAATAAGGAAGACTACTTGGCCATGAAGCAATTCCTCGTAAACGACAGGATTTATGGCCAGGAAATCCATGGATTTTTCACCCACTGTCAGAATCTGATATAGACCAGGGTAGATAATTTTTTAAACAAAAAAACAAAAATTATAGTAGAATGAAACACATTGGAAAAAAAGTTAAATAACAAAAATGGAACGAAAAATAATTCACATGCGATTTGAGGTCAGGAAAAGTAAGATGAAGGACATAGTTGAATTTTTGGTGTTTAAAAACGGTTTATCACGATTTCCGTCTGCTGCACTGCCCTTGTATGATTGTGACTGACTTTTTGATCAAATACGAAGCGAAAGTCATCGCTCAGCCATACTATTCGATTGATTTGGCTCCCTGTGCCTTTTTCTCTATTTTCGAAACTGAAGAATCCAAGAATGTGCCATGCCTCCATTGATGCCATTCAAAGTCATTCACTGAAATGCACTGAAACCCATCCAAATCGATGCTAGTAACAAGTGTATGGAAATCTTATAAAGTAGGACGTACTGAAAGATATGACGTGCTAAATCTTTCTGGCAGCTAGTCATTCTAAACATTCGTAGATTATAGAGTTTTTTTTTTCTTGTGTCGAAGTAATACTTTTTTAACTTCACGTATACCATATATCAAACTGCGCTCATATGAAGATGTTTTTTCTATGCTGATTTTATTATATATAATTTCACTGTATTGTTTTATTACTTAGAATTTGTAATATACTATATTATAAATAAAATATTCATGCCAAAGCTAGGCACGTGTATTCGTATATGTGTGAGTAGGTATGTATGCATATATATACAGACTTATCTAGGAAAAAGTTTGCATTCTAAAAGTCTTGCGTAAATAATTAAATTACCGCTGCAGCGCTGAGTCTGACTTATGTATATGTATATACATATGCATACATACACATGTGTGAGTCATAAAGATGAAGTAATAAACCGTCAGTTAAAGTAGAAAGTTCAAATGCTCGTAAAATTACATGGAATGATTTATGAAATGTGAAACAAAACTAAAAACCGAGAAAGATTTGAAAGCAAAATATGGCATAAGTATATTTAATAACTGAGTTTAAAGCAAGCAGTAGCTGGCTGGTAGCAGTTAATTGATCTACAACCGGTATTTTCATGTTATTACTTCATTTTAACTTTCAAAGAGAGCTGTCAAAATGTTAAGAAGCGATTATTACTTGCGTTTTTTGGTACTTTTTGAAACAAGTACCAAAAGATTTAAAGTAATAACTTTTCGTACTTCAATTCCTGCTACTTTATATTAAACATGAATGGTTGCTGACACAAAAAATTTTTAGATTAGGTTTTAGTCTAGCAAAGTTTAAAGCTGAGTTCATACATTCACTGAATACACTCAGTAGTATTGAGTCGAGAACACTTACTATGAAGCTCTAAAGAAATAGGATAAGGCTAACCAAGCGGTAGACAAAGTTGAATCACCAAATTAACTGAATCTCAAAACACTTTAAACAGCCGTTTTATTGAAAAAACAAAGGTCTGTCTCATATCCCTTAAATTTATATAAAACTTAATAAGAAATTCGAAGAGTTCCCTATAGAGCTTTCCAAGTAAATTTTTAATAACATTTTGCGAAACTAAACTTTGATATACTTAACATATGTATACTTTACAACTTTGGATCCATACATAATACTAAATACTCTTTCACAGACTCCTTAAGGGGTTATATCCACTTGCAAGTAAAAAAATACGTTTTTGTGCATTAATTTTTTTGCAGCAGCATTTTATTTATCAAATGAATAAAAAATAATGCAAATTTACAGAATTTAATGTATCTTAGAAATCGGTGATTAATTTTGAAACATTTTGGATTCCCTTGATTCCGTAGCCGAGCTGCACGAGGACCACCGAAGAAGGTGCCTAATGATGAAATATTTTTCTGCTACAAATTACATCAAAACCAAGAACCAAAAAAATTTTTTATTACTATAGAGGAGTATAGGTTATGATCGAAGGACTAATACTACAAAATGGCGATTTCTTAAAAACACAAATTGATTTTTGTGAAAAAATTTACACTTCAGAGTGGCTTAAAAAAACGAAATCCTTATTCCTTCAATCATTATCTGACAAATAATATATCTAAAAATATTATGTAAAAATTTCAAAACAATCGGCACAGCCGTTTCGGAGAATCTTATCTCATTGACTTGGAAAAAGGCGTTTCGATAAAAATGCGTTTACACGTTTGCGAGCCGATTCAACTAAGTAAAAATTTTGTTACAAATACACCTAAATCCCCGCAAGTATTTGCTGGACCAACCTCAAGTTTTCCGAAAATATTTTCAAATATACATATGTACATTCGACTTATAAAAAAAACAAAAATTTTATTTTTTGACAAATTCACTCTTTAAACCAAACCATATAAATCGTGTTACTTTTATAGCGACCTAAAACATTCCTAAGTTGCTTTGTGGAATAAGAAAATTTGGTCGATAAAATAAAATACGCTGCGTTCCGGTTCCACCGATCTTTTGTTTGTTTTATACTTGTTATCTTCATCATACGGTCTGATAAAGATCTACTAGACCAATGAAATAATCGCTTGACTCCTCTGGCTTCAAAGCAAAATAACTGAACGAAGTCATAACTTCCAATTTTCCGCAACCAACTCGGAAATTTCTTAGAATAACTCTCGCCTAAAACTTCCTTCCTTAATAAGCTAACGATAGACGACAAAGTCGCTTCATTTATAGTTTCACGACAACATTACATTAGTTTTCAAAAAAAGTTCCACCACGTATTAAAAACCAATGAAATATTCTTAAGTTGCCTAGGGAAATCCAGCTAAGGTAATACCCAGCTCGTTCCAATTCCATAGATATTTTTTTGTCGGTATTTTTATATACAGACCGATGGACTATTCACTTGCGCCGACTGGTTTTAAAGAATTTCAACGATATGAAATTATAACCTAAAATTTTATTTTCAAACCACTTGTAAATTTCTAAGAATAATTTTCGGGAAATGTTCTAACCGCCGGAAAAAGTTAACCATAGAAGACAAAGCTCGCTTCATTTAGTTTCTCGATAACTAGCTACAGAACTCAACCCTGTTGGACGCTCCTCACATTAATATTCATAAAATATTTCTCCACATATTAAAAACCGGCTAGAACTACTTAAGTTTATAAATGTTTACTTTTACTAAAACGTGACTCAACTTAGTTAAATATAAGCAAGAAACCTCAAAGAAGAGAGAGTAATTAACAAACAACTTCAATATTTTTCCGCTACTCACACTTCGCCTCCGCCAACTATCAAGAAATCACTTACTTGCCTGCGCAATATGTTGCTTGCTGACTGCCGCCGAGTCCACATAAACTCAAAATTACTGCAACACAACGTCAGCCTCGTAACTCATTTGCGGCAAAACAAATTTCACACATTTTCAGGGACATAATTTCGCAGTTGTAGCTAGTGTGCGCTAATTAAATTAGAGAAGGGGGAGTGCGATCAAAAAAAAACAAGTAAAATAAATGGTAGAGAAAAAGAAAACTAAATTAAAAACTGTAAACTACGCGGCCTCTTTTGTTGTAGTGTAGGAGGAACTAATGGGAGCGATGAAGGAACCAATATTTACATAAAGGTAGCGGCGGCGGCTCGGCAAGGGTGACGGTACTTGATGTGTTGAGCGAGTCAACGATATTGGGAGTGAAGAGTGTGTGGAAGAGTGTTCCAAGCAAACAACAGCCGGCATAAATGAGTGAGGAAATCATAAGAAGAAA